AAGTTTCTGTTAACAAATATATTTAAGACTAATGGCTCATCAAAAGAGCTGGGGTAAGCATTTCTTCAAGCACGTGAATATTAAAGAATCAGAATTGCCCTTTCCAGCATCAGTTAATGGAAACACATAAGAATCTACATTGGTAAGAAAACATGCCTGACTCTGCTCTGACACCTGAACATTTCTCAAGAGGTTTTCCTTTTCAATTCAGCTTCGCTCTGCATACTTAAGAAGATCTGACAGTATTACAAAAATAAAAGCCATACCTTTATTCAACTCAGATTCATCGAGGTTTATAAAAGATTCATTGCCAGAGCAGATTCTTGGCTTGATGGTCAAATCGATTCCCAGCTCACGGAGTTTCTCCAATTTGGACTTCTTCACTTTTTCAGGCAGCGCTGCCAACCCAGGCCCCACCTGTTGGTTGTTTCCCAGGCCTGGTGCTGTTTCATCTCTTTGCTCAACAGCACTGCCTCCAACTGGTAGAGGAATTTCACTCTCTTTCTGTTCACTGCAATCGGTGCTTAGCACTGATTCTCGTTCCTCTCTTTCCCTGGCAGTTGTTACAGCACTGTGAGAATCATCAGTGTTCTTTCCAGACTTTTCAGCACAGTCTCCTGTCAAGTTCTCCCCCACACCAAGGAGAGGATCTCTGGCAGCAGTATCCATGTCTCCACCAAGGTTTGCTTCTGGCTCATTAGCTGCTGATTGATCACCTTCTGTTGGCCCATCTTTGCAGTCTGTGCTTGAGGTCTTCGTGCCTGCAGCTTCTTCATTTAGGGTGAACTGATATTTAGTGGACCTAACGAAGGCAGGAAGAAATGCATCATCTATGGCTATCAGGAAAGGAGAGGAAAGGCTGAGAACAAATTGAGAGAAGAAAATAATTTTCTCTCATTGATGCATAAGAAAAGGTGAAGGATAAAAGTCTGGAAAACTTCATTTTGAGAAAAGCATAGTACAATTTCTCTACACTGTTCTATATAAACAAATTCCTAACAGATTTTACACCTACCTGAGTATTTCACTACATGTTATTGAAAACAAGGTATTTCCAGATGTTTATTGCATCAGAAGACTCTAACAAAAAAGTAGTTTCTTTTCAAGGCTCACCAGCAACAGTGACTGCACAAAAAGCAGGCGTGCATGTGAGACAGCCCTGCAGCCCACAAGAAAGTCTGCTCATCCCCCAGAAGCTAAGTTGGGATATCCTAAATGTTTATGAAAACACATGAGGAAGGTTTAAGTCCTTACTTCAGCAATGCCATGGCATTTCCTTCATACACTGGTCGAGATCTACGCTTGTAGAATTCGTGAACACTTTTGGCCTCAGGCATGTGGTATGGGAGAGACACAGATGATTCTACCAGAGAAACAAGGTGCAAGAAAAATTGAAGTCATCTAAGGCATTTATACCCTTAAAAAGGTCCTTGATTAAAAACAGTCTTTTACTCTTCAACCCTAAGTAACCAATGCCAGGTAAAAGAAAGATCTGTTCTTTCAGACAAATCCTTTCTGTTTCTCCCCTGAATTTCTTACTAGTTTCAATCCCACTACATACTAAAAAAAAATTCAGCTGTACCTCTAATAAGCCGCTGGGTCTCACTATGTAGCTGTTTAATGGCTTCCTTACTCAACCTTGCTGCTTTCCGCTCCTTAAGAAAAGAAAAGAAATCTCAAGTCAGAATGGAAAATTTGGGATTCTCTATTCTCTGAATAGCTGTTTTTCCTCTTTCAAGTTACAAGGAGGCAGCACAAAACAACTAAATGAAATAGCAAAACAGCAAACCAACAAAAACATTGGATAGCATTGAAAAGACACAAAAAACTCCCAATGGTTTGAGTAACTGTAACAAACAGAATACTTCACCTTCCTTTTTGGTTCTTTTAATGCACGTTCCTCATTATCATCATCAAAGACACATTTGTAGCCTTGGTCCTCAGAAAGCCCTTCTTTGTTCTACAGTGCATAAAGGAGAGATCCATTTGTTTGATAGATAGATAGATAGGCACAGTGAGGGCAAACAGGTCAAAATATGTAATGACAGAATCATAACTGGTCACCAAAACAGGATCTGCACACATTCTCATCAACAAGCACAAATCCTGTGTAACACTATGGCAGATTTCCAAAGCTTCTACTGTAGCCTTATAACTTTCCAATACCACTTTCCTCTACCTTAAAGAACAAAAACCTGAGGACTATTTTACCCTGCAACAAAGGACTATTTTACCCTGTTATAAACAACTGTAAAAAGTACAATCGTCAAATGGTTTCACGTATGCTCAAATAAAATGCTTCCTGCTAGTATCCAACAATGTTATGTTGCTGTACCTTGTATTTCTTTATTTTCTCTTTCACTGCTGCTCGTATTGACTCTATTGACTCTTCATCCCCTGGGAAGGAATCGTTTTCCTCTTCTAAGCCATTATCGAAAAGTTCTTTGTCATCAAGAAGACACCCACTGTCATTAAAAGGAAACCTCTCACCACCAGCCACCTGCTGGCCCTAAAAAGAAAATATTTGAATTATTTGTTCCAGGATTTCCTCTTCAGTTCTTTGACTTGCATTTAAGATTACTGTCAACTTAGAAAAAGTGTATGCCAAACTTAGCCTAGAATCTTCCGTGCCCTGTAAGCCAGGCATGTTCACTTCAGAGCACTGCAGAACAGATAAACTAAATTCATGGAGCAGCGTTCCCTAAAATACACAGGACTCTCAATAGTCCTTGTGGATACCATATCCTATCTGTTGTAGTAATGAGGACACAAAGATGCAAAAGCATTGAAACAAAATAATAATACTGTTATACATGTAATTTAATGCAGAAAGAATCTGAGATTTTCTGCCAAAAGCATGTACCTCCGAGCTTGGCTTCTTCTCTTTTATAAGCTGTTTGATGGACTCAGCTCTTCTCTCCCTCTCCTTTCTTCTTCTAGGTTTTCCTACAGATTTTTCAGCTGCCTCGTCTTCAAGACTGTGTTTATGCTTTCTGGATTTTTTCCCAGATTTCGGTGGTCTCTCCTCTCTCAGCTCATTCTCAGACAAGACAGACTTCCTGCTCGTGTCAAGATTTTCAATTTGCAAATTGTCACCAGTGTCACTGTCATCGCTGTCCAGCACAGCCTGGCGAATCCGAGATTTCTTGTTTTTCTGGGCAGTGACCTCTTTTTCCTCTCCATTTTCTGTGTCTCCACCCAGAGTGTCATTCTGCACAGAACAGTCACCATCCTCTCCATCTTCACTTTCGCTGTCCTGAAGCACCTTCTTGCCTTTTGCTTTTCTGCTTACAAAAATCTCTTCTTCTGAATCTGACAAATTATATTAAAAGAAAAGAAGCGATGTGTGCTATGGAAAAGTACATTCCACTGGTTAGTTAACAAGCAATTGGTTACATATAAAGCTACAAATGTTAAATTTTATAGAAGTCAATGACTGTAACCGTTGACATTGGTTGTACCAGCATAAAATCAAATATTCAAAATCCACCTCTCCAGCCTCTTCAAAAGGCTGGAAAAAAAGGCAAAACTGAAAATCCTTCACTGATAAATCACTAATTTGAAATAATAAAACCGCAGTAGGTAAAGCAAACCATAAAAAGGAAGGAAATGAGCCCGTTTACCACTTCCCTTTCCACACCTCGAAACCCCCTTTTCTGCAGCTCTCTGGCCACATCCTAAGCAACAAAAGCAGCACTTTAGCCTTGTACAGCAGCCCAGCAGATCCCCACCACCCAGGCAGCCCTGTGTGAAGTTCGGCAGCCCCATTACAGACCTGCATCCTGGGGGCACACGGTGCCGGTGGGCGGCCGGCCCGGTGAAGGGGGCTCAGTGCTGCCCTGCCCGCTGTCTGAGTCGCTGCCTGAGCCGCTGCCGTGGGCCTTCAGCACAGCCACATCCAGCTCTTCTGGTTGCAGCTACAAAGCAAAGGGCAGCTTTTCTGAGCACCGCGTTTATGCACGAACGGCTCTTGGGGCCTAAATCCACCCCGACGCCTTGGCTGAGCTCTTCCATAGGATCACGCACGCGTTATTGGCGCTCATTTATTTATACACTTATTGACACACTCCGTCAATCTTTATTGGTATCTAATCGTGCTTCAGGTGACCTCGCACACAGACAAAACAAGGCAAACGGCGCTCAGGCCGATCCCCCCTGTGAGCGACGCGCCTCAAAGAGGGCACAAGGCGCCATCCGAAAGGCGGCACCGCCCGCGCGCCCTCCCTTCGTGCACTGCGCCGCCAGGCCAGACCGCGCCCCTCCCTCCTGCGCGCGCGGAGATAGGCTGCTATGAGCTTCCCAGAGTGCATCGCGAGGCGGAAGAGAGCGCCGCCGCTGAGCATGCTGGGAAGTGCAGTTCTGAAGCGAGGCGGGGAGTCGGCGGTGTGAGTCAGCTCACAGGCAGCTGAGGAGGCGCCGCCGTCTCGCTCGGTGCCCATCCCAACCCTCCACCGCGCCGCGGTCACGGGAGCTGTGAGGCCCCCGGTAGCCGCCAGCCAAACGTGCGGAACGGTACGAACTCACCTCAGAGGGAGCAGCCGCCATGACCCAGGTCTGACGCAGTCGCAGCGCTGCCGCGTAAGAAACCTCTTCAAGTCTTCGCGCGCTGCCCTAGCCCCGCCCTGCTTCCGGAACAGCCAATCCTCGTTCAGTACGTCCCTTTAAGTCCCACCTCCCCTGTATTTGATTGGGAGATTTTTTCCGCCTCGCCCCGCCCTCTCCAGCTCGCCCAATCACCGCTCGCGCAGCGGGCGCCCTCCCGCTCTCCCCGTGGCGGCGCTCTCCCGGTCAGGGCGGAGCGAGGCGCCCGGTGTGCGGAGCTGCGTGAGGTCCTTCGGCTGTCCTCAGCCGTGGGGCGCGTGTGGGAGCCCCGATGCTGGGCCTGCGGAGGTCGTAGCCACACCGTAACCCGAACCCGCGCGGTGTGGGATCCGGCTCACAAATAGGTATGACGGGTCTGTACGTTGTAGAACATAAAATGATTTGTATTTTTTTTTTTCGTTGAAGTCAAATAACAGTCAAGTGCTGCCTGTCCTGAGGGGGAAGGAAAGGAAAAACAAAACAAAACTTCAGAGGCGTTTGGTCACGGATCTGTGGGAGATACGGATCTTTGTGGTGGTTCCCGTATCCCTAACGCACCTTAGAACGGAGGGAGCGAGAAAAGCAAACGCGATCTGCAGAGAGGCTGCGGGGCGGCCCGGCACCTCTGTTACCTCACGGCTGCCCCCGAACAGACCCGGCCTTTGGGTCCCCATCCCCTAATCGTGAATGGAGGCGGCGTTCTGAGGAGGGGAATTAAGAAAATTAAAAAAAAAAAAAAAAAAAAAAAAAAAAAAGAAAAAAGAGAGCGGGAGGGGAAGCTGTGCGGCGAACGGGAGCGGAGCCGTGCTGTGAGGCGGCGCCGTGAGAGGGGCGGGGCGGAGCGGGGCCGCGCGCTCACCTGTTGAAGGCCGCGCCGGCGCCCGAAGAGTGCGTAGCGACGTGCGCGCCCCCGCCGGCAGGGGGGGTTGCGCGTGCGCGAGCCGGCGGCGCCGAGCGGCGTGGAGGGGGCGCTTCTTCCTCCTCCTCCTGCTGCTGGGCCGGCGGCGGGGGGCGCGCACGGCGGGAGGCGGCGCGTGCTGGCGGCGGCGGCGGGGGCGCGCTCGGGCTCGGCGGCGCAGCGGGGGGATCGTGGGGATCGTTTGCGCCGCCGCTCGGGGAAGCGGAGCTCCGGCAGCGCGCCCC